ATCATCAGGATTTGAGAAAAAGGAGAGCTATTTGAAAAATGAAACAAACCTTCTCCGACTTTCCTTCTGTAAGTGGTTAATCCCCTTCCCAAAAGAGGGGGAACATTTATAGGCCACAGTCAATACTGCACTCTCTTGGTAACCGTACAATGGTAGGTTTACAGGTTTATAAAAATTCCTTTAAAAACTAAAGATAACTGACAACCTTTCTGGTTAGCCAGCCATATGGCCAACCTCTTATAAAGACGTCATTTTCTTTCTTTTCTGAAAATGCCTTCTGCTTTATAATTGTCCTATGGAAAAAAATATTACCAAAAACTTTCTTTACAACAAGTTATGGCTAGAAAGTCTTTCATTCTACTCCTCCTAAAAAAATTCATGAATCATCCATTATGGGAATAGCTCATAAAACTGTACTTTATTCATTCACTAATTCAATAAAGGAAATGTGTTTAGAATCATTTTATTTATAAATCCTAAACTAGATTCCACAAAGGGACACGGTTTTACAATAAAGTGCTTATAAAGCATGCACAGAATACCATTATTAAGGAACTTGAGGAATCATCTGCTCCAAAATCTTTTGCAGAGTAGGAAATGAAGCCTGCTAAAATTCATTTAAAAAGAAGTGATGTATTGATGTATTCTTAATCCTTTTTTGCCTAGTTTCAACATGGCATTCCTATAACTATCCTATCTGATTATCTACCACTATGAATTTATCTTGTCATATCATGTATACTTTTGTCCATTTTGCATGGTTTAGAGCTTACTATTCAAGTTGTATCATAGTATAACACTTCTACTTTGCTATGGCTAATTTTTCTAATTATCAGCATATCCATAGGCTTATTTCAGATTGAAGAGCAATATAGCATACGGAGTAGATGTATATACTTTGGCAGTAGGCTTCCTAGACTGCAATCCCAGCACTGTATTAATCTAGCACTTTGATTGGACAGCTTATTACTTAATTACTTTAAATATTGGTTTCTTCACCTATAAAATGTGGGTAATAAGATAAGGTTGTTGTGAGGTTTAATGATGGTAACATATGCAACCTGCCTAGCAAACAGTAAACTATATAGATGCAGTAAGACTAGTAATAGTAGTAATAATAGTGGTGGCACGAGTAGCTTGGGGATCCCAGCAAGGAGAAAGAAGTTCTACTGCATAGTAGAATAATGCCTAACAAAACCTCAAGTGCACATATCTTTGATAATAATGGTAATGATATAATTATATCACTTGATAATATAAAGCATAGCTGCATGGAGAAGCACTGGGAATTTGTTCACATTTTTGCATTATAATAATGATATCAAAGTACAAACAAGGTGTGGGAGAGCTGACCAATTTCTTAGGTCTGTTACAATATAAAAACATGAGTGTCTCCATGAATCTGAAAACACTTTTATTTCTGAGGAGCATGTAGATTCCAGATTTAAAAAAGGAGAGAAGCAAATAGGAGACATTTATTCAAAAGCCCTTGCTAGGGTCATACTATGCTATATTGAGGTTACATTTCAGACTTCAGACTGTAAGCAGTTTCACTTGTCTTCACAAAGATTAAGCACTTGCTTGCTTGAGCCAGAATGCCTTGGCTTGGATACTGCCTCTGCCACTTACAAGCTGCTTGATATGGCACAAATTACTTAATGTCTCCGTGCTTCATTTTCCACATTTGTAAAATTATATTAATATTAGAATCCATTTCATAGAAATGGAATGAATAATAAAAGAGGGGATAACTGAGACAGGTTTAGCACAATACCTGTTGGAAGTAAGCATTTATAGAACTGTTGGCTAATTTGTTCAAAAAAGTGAAACTTGCTAAGACAAAAGTCAAAGACATTTCTAGGGAATTAAAAAGTCTTTGTTCTGAAACAAATGCATTCTTGTTTTCATCTTTGCAAGTGATGCTTATCAAATTCTACATATTCCATACCTAAATTTTCATTCCCATCATCCAAAAAGAGATGAAGAGCCTTGGAAACATACCTAAATATTAGTGATTCTGATTTAGAATGAACTTTCTTTTCCCCCTCAGAACAAAAGGAAAATCATTCTAAGACATCAGTAAATAAGAAAAATTAAAAATAAAACAATGAACCAAAAGCTCTTAATAAGAAAATTAGGAAATCAGGGCTCTTCTAAAGTTAAGATGATGGCAAGCTGAAGCAGAGGATCTTACTGTCCCGGTCTGTTATTCTCTAAAAATACCTGAGCATTTATTTGGCATGTAGTGATCCAGAAGAAATAGTACATTGCTAGGCTTCCCTGCACCTAATGCGACATCCTGCCTGGGCTGTACTCAGCAGGAAGTAAGTATCATATGGCAACCAAAGGGGACCTTCTTGAAGAAAACACTGGCACGGGGTTTGCCTCTGCCCTTTTCATCCCTTCTTCTTCCCTCTGTCTAGGATGAAGATGCTGGTTGGATCATGGGCATAAAAGTCAACCGAGAGCCATTGTGTGGTACAGCTGTACAACACACTAGGGAGAGTGGCTCTCAGAGCTGGACATAATTGAGGTCCCTAACAATTGGGAAGCCACAGAACTGGCCCTGCACATCAGGTTTCTTGATTTGGATTGTGAGGATAAAACTTTGTATGATTAAGCTGTTCTTAACATGGGTTTTCTATCGTACCTAGCCAAATCTAATTCTAAAGTAGACAATCAGGACTGTCTAGTAGTCTCTTTCTATGTTTGTACTGAAATGCAGCAATAAATTTAGAATTTAAGCAGCTGTAAGACTAGGAATATGGTCACTAAATGCATCACTCTTGGAAATGTGTACATGGTCATACAATCTCAAGAAGCTTGACTAGCCAAAGTGCAGACAGCAGTCATGATTACGTGGGTAAATTATAGGTGTGTTTTTTCTTTTGTGTGGGAGGGTTGATATGAAAAGCATTATCTACAAAAAGAGCAAATAAAACAAGTGGATTTTTTCTTTCCTTTTACACTTTCCTGAATTTTCCTAATATTGTTAACAAGCTTGTGCTACTTATGTTTCAACAACAACAAAAAAGTCTGTTTAAATGCACAAATAAAAATGATGTGACAGAGGGATGTGGGCAGGGGAATGGGTGAAATAGATAAAGGATATTAAGAGTACATTTATCTTGATAAGTACTGAAAATGTATAGAATTGTTCAATCATATTGCACAGCTGAAATGAATATAATGTGTATGTTACATACATGTATAACATGTATGTTAATTATGCTCCAATTTAAAAAAATGATGCAAATGTTTTAATAGTTCATTCACACTGCACCTGGAGTGTTTTTGTCTCTGGAGCTCTACCTCTCACCTCTAATTGGTCTGACCTGGCCTAGCCTTGAAATTACATTTAAATAATCAGCTTTTCAATATCTTTTTTTTTCTTGTTTTGTGGAAGTGATAGCTCTTTCCTTAAATCCCAGTATCATTCTGGAAACATGTAGTACATAACTTTTTTACATTATACTATTCCCATCAATACACATATTTCATATCTAAGAATATTATAAGGTTATCTGGAGCATATGTAATTCTTTTTTGTTTTCATACTTACCTATTCATTTGTTTATTCATGTGTTCACTTATCCTATTGACAACAGATTACTGAATATCTCTTTATGATATGCAAGATATTATACAAGAAACAAGGATATATGACGAAAAATAAAACTTGTTCCACGCATCCAAAAAATGATCAAGCCATGGATAACGGGATAGTGTGGCAAACAGGTAAATTTAATACAATGTGATCAGTTCTAGGGGAAAGGATTGTATATGACAATAAAGTGACAGAGAGGCCCCTCACCCTGCAGGGAGTCTGCTTCTCCCTCTACTTGTATCTCTGCCTCTATCTCTGTGTCTCTCATGAATAAATAAATAAAATCTTAAAAAAATACATTACATGAAGGAAAGTTCTGTTTTGTGTGGTTAAAAGCACAGGGTCTGAGAGGAGTTTTGAGAGGGACCAGGAGCTTCAAATGCCACAGGTCCCTCCAAATGCCACAGGTCCCTCCCTGTGCTTTGAACATAATGTTGACTGAACGAATGTTTGTTGACTGTTATACTCATAGGTACTGTGCAACAGCCATTGTGATCCTACACTGGCTGACCTGACATGCCTTATAGATATTTAGGGGACACAAAGGCTGGCTAAATTGCATAATTGTAATACATTGCCTCAATTCCCTCATTTCCACAGACAAAGAGGCTGAACTAATGTTTTAAGTGATTATAATGTGACTTTCAGAAAGGAAGGTTATCGGTAAATGTCTAGGTTACCGCTACTTCAAACCCTATGTTAAAAACCTTGACTGAATATAGCAAAAGTGGTTACTCCAATGGTATACTCTCATCTCCTGTAAGGAACAAGTCACCCAAAATGGATTTCCTTGCCATAAAATTATTCGTTCCATCAATGAATTTGAAAATAAGTGTTAAATGATCATAAGAAGGGAGGTTATAGGCTCGACTGAGAAGGCAAAAATTGAATACTGCAAATATTTATTGGTCACAATAAGTAGCATACTATTTTCTTTCCTTAGAAAACACAAAGAAAAATTAATACAACATATGGTTAGATTTGTTCACAAAAATGTATAGATTAGGATATAAACATATTTCTAAAGGCTTTTTGCAAACTTTAAATAACCATAATAGCATGATTGTCTTTTCAAGAGTGTAGCTTGAGAAATTAAATTATTGTGTTCAACAGAGAGGGAAATTACATTCCAAATGGTAACTAGCACTATTTTTCTACATTCATGAATTTTCTTGCTTCTATATTCAAGCAGGTTTTTTTTTTTTAAATAAGTGTTAAGTATTTGTAAGAGAATTTTTTTTTCTTTTTTAAGGAAGAAGTCCTATCATGTTTTCTGAAACTTTGTTTTGATCAGTTGCATTCTAAGTAAACTCCACCGAACAGGGGATAAGGAGCAAAATTGGCATCAACACACAGAAATCAAAGTCTAAAAGAAAAGAAGTTCATTTCATACCTTCAATAGGTTTTGGTACAAAATGTGATGAGGGCTTGGTTTTCTTCACTCTGTTTCCCTTCATAATTTGACCTTCTTTATTGAGTCCCAAAAACCATGCTCGGCCTGACTCTTGCTGACGGTACAGTGTGGAAGAATAAATCACATAGTAGTTTTCAAATACAGATTCCTTAAATTTGCATTCTGGAGTGAAAACATCCTGCAGAAGAAGGTACAAAAGAGAGAAAGGATTTAAAAGTGAAATAGCAAATACTTAAATCCAATGAACTTGAAATATAGGTCCTGTATTAAGAACAAATTGGAGGGAAAAAAAAACAAGAACAAATCAGAGGCAATTACACATAATTTCTAATGGCACTTGGTTTCAAAGATTCATCATACAAAATCAAGAAGCAAGATTTCCTTTCTAAACAACCTTTATTTCACAGAACACAACTGTCCAGCTTGAATCACTTGTTGGGCTAACATCATGCAAGGCTGTGCCCAGGTCTGGTCCCAGTAAAATGTTTTGTAAATTTAAAAGATTGACTATTGCACATTTTAGTGGTTCTTATCATGTAAAATGTATGCCTGGGAACCAAAATCAAATACAACCACAGGACACACAGGCTCACAGATGTTTTTGAAGGGACTACCCTTAAATGTACAAAAATGTATTACATAGTCAAAATTTGTTCCATAAAATCACCTGTATAGTACCTCTTTGCTAAATGTCAGTAACTTCTCATTTAATTTCTTTGCAAAATTTTTCAACTTAATAATAAAAATTTCAGGCAATATACCCAGGGACAAGGAGTATATAAATATTGCTACTATGTTGTATGATCTTCAGTGAAACATATAATAAAAGTTTTAATTCAGGAAGGAACTTTAAAAATCCTACTTTACCCTTATTATTGGGTAAGTGAGACAACAAAAGGTTATCTGATTAAGTTATACATGCACACACACACACACACACACACACACATTACTGCATCGATGCCAGAACTCACATTTCATGCCTCACAATCACTGCCTCTCACAAGATCACCTTTTCTGGTTGAGTCTTGTTCAGTGACTTACAATGAGATTTTATAATCAATACAATGAAATCAAATCCTAATATTACAAATGGAAAAAATACTTGTCATGGAATGAAGAAATTCCTCCCCTTCTAAGATGAGAAGAAAAACAAATGTGATAGCATCTTCTTCAACCACATGTAATTAAGAATCCTATGTATAAAACACATTCACAATCATCACTGCTGTCCTCGTAACATACTAGAAGAATCTCTTCCTCCTAACCCTTTAAGTGTAAGGTTACAATGGTTTAATGTGTTACACCTGCAGTTAAGTTACTAGAAATATGCAGGACTAATGCTGGGTTGAAACCATGTCCATCTAGGTGATACTCACAGACTAGTCCCCAGGATTCATTTGCAGAAAGCTACAATGATGCATCGATGGGTGTTAGTGAAGGCCTTCAGTGATAAAAAGACACTGCTTAAGAGACTCTCTTGATTTTAAATGGTTCTAAAATTATAGAGCAAGAAAATGAGAGTGAAATGATGGGGAGGGGAATGGGAAGGCAATTGTGAATATTATATATATATATATAATACAGATAGATAATATATATTATTGATAAATATTGATAATAAATACTATCTATACTACATTGATAATAACAATATAATACCACAGGACACTCTCAGTTAAATAAACCTAGTGGCTTAAGAATCAAAGACCTAAAAAGTCTCTACATTTTAGAGTGACATCACTCACAACCACTTTTGCTCCTCCTAGCTTTACTTCCAGAATGTATGCTTCCCAACTCAACTAGGAATACATAGCATACAATTCTGTATAGTTAATATAATTAAATGGCAGCATAATTACAATTTATCTCCATCCCATTTTTTGTACATCTCCATTCCTCCTTCCTGTTCTAGATACAATACTCCACGACATGAATGTGCAACGGATGAATGAACACTTTATTGCACTGCAGCCACTGCTCTCTTTGCTGTTTCTCAAAAACAACAAGCATAACCCATTTCAAGTCCCTCACAATTGAGATCCTCAGTTCTTGAAAATGCCTTCATATTAATATGGTTTGATCTCTCATTTCATTCAGGTCACTGCTCAAATGTGACTATCTCAGAGAGCTTTCCTGACTGCTTTATATAATTTAGCACCTCCTCCTCACTTTCTAATCCTTTACCTTGCTTTTTTTTCCTCTATAGCTTAACACTAGCTGGTATGATATTACATATGAATTAAGCTCCATGAAGGTAAGCACCATGATTGTTAATTCCCTTCATATCCCATCTATCCATAGTAGTTGGAATTAAAAAATATATACTCTGAATCAAAATAATTTGATGAAAATCTTCATAAAACCTTTTATTCCTGTATTTCTGTAACCTGTGTTCAAATTGGGACGATCACTTTCTGTCTTAGGTTCCTTGTTCCTCTAAGTGTAAAAGAGAACCTTGTTGAACTAGGTAATTTCAAATATCCCTTTTGATTTAAATTTTCCATAGCTTATCATTCATATTCAATGGTTAAATAATTTCTTGAAATTAAGGAGTCCATATAAGATATTGTTATTTTTTAAGATTTTATTTATTTATTCATGAGAGATGCACAGAGAGAGAGAGAGGCAGAAAGACAGGCAGAGGGAGAAGTAGGCTCCCTGCAAGAAGCCCAATGTGGGACTTGATCCAGGATCCCGGGATCATGCCCTGAGCCAAAGGCAGATGCTCAACTGCTGAGCCACCCAGGCATCCCAAGATACTGTAATTTAAAAAAAAAAACAGTGCTTACCTATCAAAAATTGTGGTGATATATTGTTATTAAGAATATCAAATAGAAAAAAAAAGAATATCAAATAGAAAATGTAATCAAAGGAAATAAACTTTGCAATTATACAAGTAGTTATGACTAATGACTCTATGATATGTAAAAATTACTGACTTTCCAAACATATGCTAGATAAAAAGGGCCCTCTATATTGATTTTTTTCCTTTCCATTTAAAAACCAAAATCTTTTTTTTATGTACAAAAATATCTCCCTGTTTGCTGTGCTACCCTTTTATTAGATTGTGTATAAAGAAGAAAGAAATTAAAGACTTGATTCTTGCAACACAATTTATGTCCAACAACTCTAGAGATAGATAGTTCCTTTGGTTATAACTCTTGAATATGTGGATGTGAAGCTTTTGATTTCTTAACTTCCTTAATGGCTTTTAGATGTACAGAATTTGAAAATCCTTGGCATATTAGCAGTTGCTCCATCAACTGTGTTGTCAGACATAATGATATTAAGTCAAGCAAGAGAACTTTTGTTTTCCATCCTGACAAGAGGCAAAGAAAATGCTAAAATAAATTATCTCAAATGAAGTATTTTTTAAAAAACTAAGTTGCTTTAATAGAACAAATCTAATTTTATAACTTAAAAAAATTTAGCATACATGGAATTGTTACCTGTATACTTTTTGAGATATTTTTTACTAGAAAACTACTCAACTGATTTTTCTAAAAACAAATCTTCTTTTTTAACACAGTCTTTGCATTATCTTACAAGACAATAGGTAAATTTATATCATCAGAAAATAATGAAAACTGTGGTACATTGGAAACAATTTTGGAGGCAGACATACAGACTTAAATCCCCAATTTTTTTATTTGGACAAGTTATTTAATTTCTCTGAAGCTCAGTTTTATGATCTATAAGTTAATATTAATTATACTTTCACTATAATATTGAATCATTAGACAATAAAGATGTGCCTAACTTAGTACCTGGCATGTCACTCACTTTATTTACATCTAGTTACACTTTTTCGGTTATATATGATATCACAAATAAGAAGGGTTAGCCTGAGCAGTAGGTTGAGAAAAGTCACTCCACTTGTAGAATTCAATAATGTTTTTCCCTATATGACAATGCTGCTTAAGGATCAATTTGGCCATTGTTATAAAGTATACAAATAAATCTGATGATTTCTTTTTCTGGTAGAGGATGTTTTTTATCAATCTGAGATAAGTGACATGAGTTTCAGATTCTTCACACCTCCTCATGAGGCATAATGCCACATAACCAATTCACTTAGCCTCTAGCCCATAGCTTGCAAGTATAGAAGTGAGGTAGGAATGGGGAATTGAAAAGGCAGGTGGATGAGAAGATACATCATGTTGCAGTGACTGTTATCATCAAAATTATTTCCAGAATTCTGAATATTCTAGAGGCAGAGCAGATATTGAGGGAACAGAGTGATTTTCCAATAAAAACACCATTACTTCTTATGAAGTGAGCAAGGACACAGAATGTAACTATGAGTTTACAAATCAAGGCAAGTACATTGAGTACCTTCAGTACATTCACGAAACAGGAAGAGTATACATCCTCTGGTAGGCCTCTGGTGCCTCAGTCTCTATTTTCCTCTCTGGGGATAAGGATGGAAGTGGGGACATTTTCAAATTACCATATTTCAACATAACCTCTGTTATACCTTTTGGGAAATCATTTTGAATACTCTAAGGGGCTCCGGAAATTATCAAGTAAGGTTGGAAATATATTTTTACATGAAATTTTCCAATTTTTAAAATTCTGTGTGTCAACTTCCATGAAGTCAGAATAACTGGTATCAAACGTCCTGATGTAACAATTATAAATATTGGACAAAACATATGAGGCAACAGTTTCCAGGCACTTATCAACTAAAATTGCTGGGCTTTGATCTTTGAGAGAAGAAAAATATATGAGATAAGTATTAAATTAATCCTGGCTTTCTGCAAGAGGTACTTTTCAACCCTGGAATGAAGAAGTAAAGCTAAAGTATTGCACTGTGGTTATTGTGAACTGTGGAGGCAGAAACTGGAGTTTAGGAATGCTAAGGGGACTTGAATTTATAGATCAAAGTGCCAGAGAAAAAAAATCTGATCTAATGGAGGTCAGGAGATTTTATGGGAATTTCCGAAGGATCCTGGGCTTATGGATGCACTGAATATGCTCAGGATAAGACTCCTCAAGGTCAAGTTTAGAGCAACTAGTACAGAACTAAGAACTCAATAGAGATACAAGAGGTTGTGCAGGGCTGAGGATTGCTGAACTTCTAGAAAAGCCAGAAAGGAAAGACCTTGATATTGGACATTTCACTGGAGACCTCAGAACAGCCAGTTTAGAGTTAATGACCACACCGTAATTAAG